TTTATATTCTCACTGGTACATTATTTTATAACTTTATTTATTTTCAATGTTGAAGGTATTTACATCGTTTGTGTGTTGAGAGGAAGATTGTCTTTATCTATGGATTTGTTGACCCTATTGCCATTCAGTCCGTTGGGAATAAAGCTGAAGAGCTGCAGACGTACTTAATAGTGACATTTCAAAATGGGGGCAAAGAAGTCTACTTAGCACCTTACTTGCATCAGTAAGTATACATCTTATAAATTAATGCACATTTATGTAAAACTGAAATTTTACTAATATTATTTCAACGTGCAGGGGTCATTGGCAGCTCATAATCATTGTTCCTCGGCAATTTGTTGTGATTCTCTTGTGTTCATTACACAATAAACCAAATGATTTGGATATTAGAAAACACATAGACGCGTAAGTTTGTTTTTTTTAATTGTTGTATCATATGTGCACTTACACCAAAATTATTTGTCCTTTTGTAGAGCTTTGGAAGCTCACCTAAGGTTGCAAGACCTTCCATCTCATGCTAGAAAGAAGTTGACGTATATTGCACCAAAGGTGACCAAACACCTCTTACTGTTATTCAATTTGTCATTTAAAGTTAATCTGACATGTATTTAACTTGTAGTGTCCACGCCAACCGGAAAGCCATGAGTGCGGGTATTATGTGATGAAGCACATGCACACCACCGTAGCCAAAAATATTATTGACTCATGGAGGGAGGTAAATATACTATAATTAAGTCAAATATGTCAATTATGTAAATGGTTTCTAAATCTGAAATGTTTCAATATGTAGGAATTTACAGACTCATCTCCAATGAAGATTGAAGTGTTAGACGATATTAGAGAGCAGTGGGCTTCTTTCCTTTTAAGTATTCAATCTTCATAGCAAATTTGACTTGTAACAATTTTGATTGAATTGATTTAAGTTAGCAAATTTACATTCGTTTAAGTAAATGAACTATGCTGGAACTGGTACATATATTGATTTCAATATGTTTCATATGTACATATCTCGTGCGGAACTATATATGAGCTGTGCATATCTGTCTGTACAAGTGTTTGGATCTGTGAATATTTGTCTGGAACTGTGATGAATAGGCAGGTCTACTCGAAGAAAGGTAGCATCTGTGAAGAAAATGCAGTTACTGTAAAAAAAAATAACATTTTCTACGTCGGTTATGTCATTACCCGACGTAGAAAGTACTTTCTACGTCGGTTAATGACATAACCGACGTAGAAAGTGTAACATTTTATGTCGGTTATAGGCATAACCGACATTGATAACACATACAATGATAACACATACAATACTTTCCTTTTAAGTATTCAATCTTCATAGCAAATTTGACTTGTAACAATTTTGATTGAATTGATTTAAGTTAGCAAATTTACATTCGTTTAAGTAAATGAACTGTCTGGAACTGGTACATATATTGATTTCAATATGTTTCATATGTACATATCTGTCTGGAACTATATATGAACTGTGCATATCTGTCTGTACAAGTGTTTGGATCTGTGAATATTTGTCTGGAACTGTGATGAATAGGCAGATCTACTCGAAGAAAGGTAGCATCTGTGAAGAAAATGCAGTTACTGTAAAAAAAAATAACATTTTCTACGTCGGTTATGTCATTACCCGACGTAGAAAGTGTAACATTTTATGTCGGTTATAGGCATAACCGACATTGATAACACATACAATCACGATTACTGTTAACCGATATAGATACTGGGGTTATAGAAAGTTAGAAAGTAAGACTTTCTATGTCGGTTATCAGTATTAACCGACATAGAAAGTAAGACTTTCTATGTCGGTTATCAGTGTTAACCGACATAGAAAGTAATATGACAGGTCAGAATCAGTTATGATCGATCAGAATAGCTCTATGACCGATCAGAACCAGTTGTGACCGATCAGAATAGCTCATAGAAAGTAAGTCTTTCTATGTCGGTTCCCTAACTAACTGACGTAGAAAGTCTTACTTTCTACGTCGGTTATTAGGAACCGACGTAGAAAGACTTACTTTCTATGACCCCGTATCTATGTCGCCGCTTTAACCGACGTAGAAAGCTCATTTTAACCGACGTAAAAAGTCTTTTCTGCAGTAGGGAATAAATCACCATGTCACTAAAGCGCAATTATTATTTTACTGACCAATTCGGTACCAAAAATGCTGCCACTAAGTATGATAGATTTGATATTGTAACCGAACTATAATATATATCAATTTTATTATTATTAATGCCATTTTTTGTTTTCTTTTATATTCCTTTAAACTCAATCTCATATTTGTTAAGTTTGACAATTAAAATTTCTTATGATTTAAAATTCCTGTAGATGAATTGATTTTGAATTAGAAAATAAATTTTACTATGGAAACAGATAAAAATATATTTACGAAAATTGAAGTAAAAACCAAAGTCAAACAACGTATGAAAAGAATTTATGTATTTATGTAAAGCATGGTTTTGAGATAAGTTGTATGTGCTCGTGTTAGTTTGAAGGAATTTTCGTTAATGACACAGAAAAGAAATTGGTCAATTTTTTGGCCTCCTTCTCTACTATTATTTTATTATCTCAATTTCCTTACACACCCTTCGGCCTTTTTCCTTGTGTCATATAATATTTTATTATTTTGACAAATTTTTTTCACTCGAACTTTCATGGGGTAATATTCTTCCATATCATAAGCCACATTCAACCAGTTTAAATGTAATTTCAATGGAAATGGGTAACAGTATTTGCTAGCCCTCCCATTCCCTATTTGTTGATAAAACTTTTTTTTTTCATTTTTAGTTTATCATAATTGGAAGTATCCTTTTAAATATAGTTGCCTGTGAGAGACAGATCTTGATTATTTATATTATAAGATTAAATAATATATTATCAATACATAATAATAATAATATATATATATATATATATATATATATATATATATATATATATATATATGAAATTGTGAGTTAAGTTGAGGACTAAAATTATAAAATATTAAGAATAATTATTAAATTTGAGAGAGTAAAATCATAAATATTAATATAAATTACAAAAGTTTAATAACCCATTCATCCAAAAAAGTTTCATTATTATAGAAGATAATGGAATTACAGGCATTATTTTGAAAATCACTTTGAATAAGTAAAAATTAGTTTAAAAATTGATTTATTATTTTTAAATAATTAAATTAATATAAAATCAGAAAAATCGGTTAAATATTTTATTCGAATCAATTTTAGTAAAAAAAAAAATTAAAGAACAAAATTTTTAAATTTTGTTTAAAAGACAATTTTTCTATGCCAATGTGCAGCATGTTCAACATGCTATAGATTTTATTTGCATCACTTTTTATGATTGGGTCTTGAACATTGATATAAGATGTATTAACAGTCTCTACTAACAGTTAAGTGGACATATTTGAATGGTAGAATTCTGATTTTGAAGAACTAAGGAGGATCATGATAGAAACTTAGATTGCTTGTTATTTTAGTAGCAATTGTAAAACTTTTGAAATGGAATCACGAATGGAGGTTCATTATGTATATGTTGTAAATTTAGGTTTGTATTTGAAACCAAACAATTTGAGGAAGATTTATATTGAAATAGAGGTATTCGTAAAAGTTGTAAACTTAAATCATAGTGTTCCATGATACTAGTAAATTTTGATTAATAAGAAATTTGGCTCTAGTTAATATTATTATTGTTTACAAATTTATGATTATATAGTGATAAATTGTGTATGATTCATTGAGCAATGGTTATACTTAAAAAGTATAACACTTTGTTAATTTATATTAAGTATCTAACTACTTGCATGTATTCGTTCAAGTATTTATTTTCTACCTGTAATGTGTTTTACCCAGGAATATCTATACGAATTTTTCTATCATCCATAAGAGGGTCTCCCACCTATAGATCACCTGCCACACATTTTTAGACTAATTTTCTAATTAAAGCACCATAGCAGACCACGTTTCATAATTAAACAGGTATGGACGATATAGTAGGTGTCTAAATAAAGCAATCATTGCTAAATGCAGAAAAATGGGTCATGGCTTCAGACCACAAAACTACAAACAATATTATGGAACAAAAAATCAGACCACACATTAAACACAGAATCGAACATAGCATCTACACTGAAACCTCAAGTTTTAAGCAATATAATTATAATTATATAATTTTTTTACTAAAACATTTTGAAATTATTCTCATTAATCTAGTTAAATACTTAAAACTCATTCACCTGTCCTATGAAGTTTTTTAGAAAAGTTTAGTTAGTCAACCACAAATAAAAAATAAACATTTCAAAAGTTTATTAAATTATTACAGAAGCTCTTTGTTTTAAAAAAGTTTATTTCAACGCACGTACGCTAAAAATTAATTTCTTATTGGTAGTATGTCAGCTGTTGTATTTGATGTCAAAGCGTGATGACGCATATCTAAACTTGATTGCGGTGAGTAATTCATGGATGACTTTAATGAAATCATCAGTCTCTTGAATGATGATTTGACAGGATTGCATAATTTATCCTTGATATAAAAGAGTTCATGATCAGAAAACATTATTTCAAAATTAAAATAGTCTTTCATCGAAGTTGGGCATTATAACTATTAGACCAATAAAATTGACATTGACCTGAAAGAGTTGGATAGCTCAGTCCAGTTTACAACAAATTACTGAAAATTGATTGTATAATTCTCAACAAAAAATTAGCTTACAAATTGGAACAGAGGAGATGGAGGCACTGATAGTCGTGCGGAATATCACAGTCAAATGTGCAGAATATAGTACAGTTCAAAAATGCGCATATAACACTCATTCTAGTTTAAATATTCCGCTGCCTCTAATATCTAAAAGATTGTTTGATGAAGTTATCAAATAAAAGTGGGGTTCCTACCAAAACTTGATAAGGTGGTGTGGGAGAAAAAATGTGGAGATCACACCACTGCACAGCTGAGACATGTCTGCTGCGATTGCTTCATAAATAGCCTTATATCATCTTCTCTTCCCTTCCACTTTGCTTATTTTCTTCCTATGCTTCGAAGCACTGCTATCTATGTTCAGATTCACCTTCGGTGGGTTGGAAAAACAAAATGAAGCAGCAACAGCCTGCAAAGTACGTAAGTTGTACAATTTAGCCTATATTATACATGATGTACTGTCCAACAATTTGGTTACGAAGTTTACCAGCAATTCCTCAAAGGCAACATGGTATAACATGATTAACATAGACAATTATTACATAAAAATCAGACTGTCACTGAACGCACAATAACTTCTTCATAAAATCCCCGAATGGGAAGAATTTAACTATTGCTCCTACTAAATTAAGAAAGCCAATACTATTTGCTACTAACAAAATCCTTAGAAAAATTTCTTCAATGCCACTGAGCCGAGCTCTACTCCTCTTGCAGCTAACACAATGTCAAATAGAGAGTAGTAGTTAGCACCTACCAAGGATAGAAAAGAGAGGAGAGAAACACTAATTTAGTCAAGGAAAGAAAGGAGGTTGACAATTGCCATTAACACCAGATGTTAGGTAACGAGGGGATGAAGGACTGGGTTTATGTGAAAAGAAAGAAAATTCAAGAATAATGGAGTTGCGGGTGGCAAAGGAACTAGTATCAATAACTTGTCACCAACCTCTCTCTATCTTCATTTCTATATCCTAGAATCATCTGCCAAAATCTAAAAAATGATGAACCCCACCAAATAACCATTTTTTTTTTCGTTGCCTAATGTAATTACTTTTGTTTCAGTCATTCATTCTTATAATCTTATTACTCACCTAACCAATACAATCTAAATTAATTTCGAGGTTGGAGGTTAACATGAAATAAAATAGCTGAACATCCAGAGGCAGTTGAAACAATGTTAGGTAATATATGCAGGTTCCGCATGCAGACACAACTTAAGACCTAGATCAGTTCATACATTGTACGTTTCAGCTCAGAAATGAAGTCATCGGAAAGCTTTACCAGTAAATCTAGCCGATGAACATTGAATATTTCTTTCATAGAATGTGCATTATATGCTAATATATATGACCGATATGCATCTTTAGCCATATTGTTCAAATGATAAATGCCAGCCACCAACTTCTCCTGCACAATCCAGATGGCTCTGCTTAAGATAAACTGCAGTTGGTTACCATATAAAATAAATTCGCACATCAGGAAACAGGAATATACCAGATGAGATTGTACATTCGCCAGCTTCTTATTATCAAATGCATACTCTTTCACAGGAACCTTTGCTGCCTGAAATCAAGCATATGTTTAAACTTTAACACTTCAGCATAATAATCCGAGAATAACTTTCAAGTCAATATTATATATTATACTTTCATTTCATAGCCTTATTTTATAATTTCCCCTGGGATAAAAACTGCCTTCCCCCTATCTTAAAATGGCATCAGGCATAACAAACTCTAGGGTTCCTCAAGTGTAAGATATCAGATTGAGAGTTTCCATAAATTCGTGAAAACTCTTTAAAATCAACTGGTAGACTCATATCAGTCTAGTTCATATAAAAAATAACATATCAATTTCATAATTGAACACTATAATTAAGCAAAATAGTAAACAATAATTTAATCATGATTATCAAACTCTAGGGTTAACCCGTAAACCCTTCCGAGTTTATAAGTTTTTTATTGGACTATGAGTGAACTCATATGTAAACTTGTTCTAAGATAAAGAAAGGTCACGCATACATTAAAAGCCTCTTTGTTGTTATTACCTACTGTTGGGTCATCAGTCCCAAACCAACCCAGGCCCAAACATGGCTCTTTGAAGCCTCTGTAATAAAGATTACTTTGGGCTGTAGACCACACGAAAGAGAAAGAAACTGACCTTCAAATAGTGAAGAAATTGCAATTCTTCAGGTATTAGGAAAAGTAAAGCATTTCCTTTTCCACCTTCCCCACGAGCTGTTCTACCAACCCTATGGATATATTCCTGGAAGCAATATTATCACATGTTATACTATGTATTGATGCATAAGGCTACGAAGACACAAATCGGAAAAGAAAGTAAACATAACAGGAAGCACCTTTGGTTCATCAGGTGGATCATACTGCACAATCCAGTCCTACAAGAAAAGGAAGAAATGTGATTAAATATTTACATCTTTTTATTGATTTCCAATTCAGATAAATTATTTCCAGGCTTATTCTATTGTTAAGTATTCAAGTTGAACATTGCCAGTAAATAACAAAAATACTAGAAATTCGCAAACCAAACAAAAGTTTCCCTCCTAATGTTTCTAGTCCTGCCACTGCTAGCTACTTTAGTATTTTTGGGAAATGTTGGAAGTTGGACACATCTTGAGTGTTATGAGCACTCTCACAAACATCAGTTCAAGTTTGAGAGGTGTAAAGGGGGCAAGAGTCAAGATCTTTGAAGACGTTTATTTTGTTTATACTAAGGGTTTTGTAATTGTCTATAACATGAAATAATGAGGTTTTCTTAACATTGTTTATAAGTTAAATGCTATTTAAGAAGTTTTGTCATTAAGCATGTTCATAATTTAGTACTTATTGGTTTCTCTTAAGTTGGAATTTTCTTAGGTACCAGATTAATATGGCACCCGAGTCCACCATTGAATTCTATAACAAATTCATTGACAGTCACCCAACAACAATGAACACTACCAGTAAGGCAGGGCGACCTAGATTCTAGTGTACTACAGAATCTTCTTTACTGAAATTCTTCTAAACAATGATTACATTGTTCTCTTTTAACATTTCTGTACAGGCAGTTGTGAGTAATTGGTTGCAAAGTGCAACTGAAGAGTCTAGAGTGAAAACGTTAGCAGTATGAAGCGTCCTAAGCACGTTTACAAGCCAAAAATATTCATGTAACCTGATAAGAAAAAAAATAGCATACCACATCAGGTATGTCAAGTCCTCGAGCAGCAACATCAGTACAGAGCAAGATTCCTTTTTCAGCTTTGCAGAAGTTGAAGAATGTAGAAGTACGGGCATGTTGCTTTTGTTTTCCATGAATATTTAAGCAGTCCAAACCAGCACTTTTGAGAAGTTCTGCGTGGAATTTGACAGAGTTGCATGAAGAGAAAAAAACCATCACTTTTTTTGTTTGATATCTCCTCAATAATGAGTAGAGAACAACAAAACGCTTAGCACAGGGAACAACAACATAACCCTGTTGCAATCCTTCATTAGTAACCTACATTAATAAGAATAATGTCAGTTAATCTAATAATGATGAAAACAAATTCCAAAGCTTAAGTAAACATAAAGGTATCACCTTTTTTCTCCCATCATCTACATCAATATAGATAGGAGTTGTTTGAAAAGATAAGCGGGCCAGATCCTTAACCTGCAATTAAACACAAAAACTTTAAATCTAAAGCAGAGACAACAAGTAACAAATATGCTTGCATACCCCAGACTCTCACTTTCAAACATAAAATGCATTATCGTCAAGCATTCAGTCCAAGTGTATCAAGTGGGAAAATAGAGTAAGTAAACAATTAGATTAAGATTTGCTTTAGAAAAAGAGTGTGTTTAATGGTGACAATGAAGAACAAACCTTCTTTGTTTGTGTGGCTGAAAACAAAGCCGTTTGCCTTTGCTGTTAAAGGGAAAGCAAAATAATTAGTCATACTTTTGGGTATTAGGTAGAAACAAAGACTAGAGATACACTTAAAAATACATTGAATTTACAAGAGGAAAATTATATAGAAGATACAGCAGCTACATCTCGGTATTCAAAAGATTGGCCCCAAACCTAAAACATGCTAGTCATATTGGTTACTCAAACCATATACCTACTAGAAGAAATGCAGTGCTACTTTGTCAAGAAAAAGAAAAGATTACAAAACGGGGTTTTTTCACTTTGTTACAAGCTTAGATGCAAACAGCCACTGCCATGCAGCAAACCCAACAAACATGGTGGAAAGAATTATGGCTAGATAAAACTAGCTAATCTCAGGTAGTGTAGCAAAGAGCCAAACACCAAAAAAAAGTCATAGCACCAGAAATAGACCATTGCTGAAACAGAAAGTGGGAAACATTTCACAACTGTACATTTTGTTGTCCAAGATAACAAAATATCCCTATATTGGTTAAAATGATGTTAAATGGAATTAGAACCTTCCTTCCTAATCAAGGTCACCTATTGTCTTTACTTTTCCCTTCTAGACCTTTGAAAACATCCTTTTGTAGGTTGCATCATAAACTTCAATATCATTAAATGCTCAAAAGTAACGAGAAATATTCACTGAGAAAGCAATTTATATTTAATTATTTTGTCCAATTTAGTTTTCTCTTAAATGATATTGTAATATCTATTCTTAAGTATTTTTTTGTTTGGGTTCCCCAGTTAAATAATACCAATCATAAAGCAATAACGTGGTTGGAGTGCTTAAACATGGCACAACTTCATGACAGCATTAAAATTTCATAGTCTTTTTGCAAGACAAAATGGGGGGAATGAAAGGAGAAATCAGCTACACAAGGCAAGAGCTATGATACCTTTGGAAGTATGTTAATAATCTGCTTCATCTCCTCCTCAAAGTTTGCTTCCAATATCCTGTCGGCTTCATCAATCATGAGGCACTGTCAAATCAAGCAAAGGCTCAGGCCTCAGTGTAAGAAGGATAACCAGGTTATAGACTTACATATGCATGCATCCACTATATTCCAAATATGAGATATTTAAATGCAATAAAATCAGGAGTCACAACTCAAACCCCAAATTGAGAAAAACAAAAAGGCCTATAATACCAGCATTTTATAATACTTCAGCATTAAATGCCAACCTGGCTTTTGAATAACAACCAGCTTCCTCCCTAATATGTAGTATCTCTAAGGGCAACAAGTCTAAGCAGGTATAGTAAGAACATCTGAATGATGTTAGCAAATTCAAGTTAACAACAATGATGCAGTCCTTGGTCCTGTGATCCCATCACCAAACAAATTTTCAATCCAACAATTCAGTGTAAGATTTTTTTTAATGTTTTAATTTCATAAAATATTCTCAATATTTATCTATGACTTCTGATCAGAAAGCACATTCCATTTTATCTTCTTTTCTAACATAATCATATCAACTTCGGAAAGCTTCAGTCATCTTCTCAACATATACTACTTCTATTACACAAATATACATCAAGTAAACAGATTATATGAACAACAACGAACTAAACAAAACTTTGCTCTCCAGAACTAAATTGCTGACCAAAAGATAGCACATACTAAGAATTAATATTAATAATATACTGGGATGAACGTTTCCATAAACACTTCTAAGAGAAAAAATGAAGTAAACTTCTCCGTAAGCAGAAATTAGTTTAGGCATAAGCCAATCTAAAAAATTTCTCCAATAGTAACTTCTCCAAATTAGATTTCTAACTTATACACAAGATATTTTTAGTTTAGGAAGAAACTTATCTCACTTCTTTCTTATTATTGCCCTCTTTTAAGTTATTAGAGAGAAGTTTAAACAAGTCCTATATCACTAAAATCTAAACACAAATGCTAATGCTACTTGTCAAATAAAACATAAGTGGAGTTCTCCAATCAGAAAATAGAGTTTCGTAGACAAAACTTACATGCGGTTCCTAAGGTGCTGATACACACTCTAATACATTCTACCTTGTTAACTTAAATTGATTAGAGTAAGGCAGCATCAACAGCTAATTATGTCAAAGTTTTGTCTACCAAATGCATGCATATTTACAATTACAATGAAGCAAAATAGGGAAAGAATTCTACGAAAGATCCACAACTCAATACCTTCAAGTTTTTATATATGAACCCGTTCGTGTTTTGAAGGTGATCGAGAAGCCTACCCGGCGTCGCCACCAATAGGTTCACCCCTTTCACAATGCGCTCAGCCTCTCCCCTTCGCCCTGAACCCCCAATCACCAAGCCGAGCGTTTGCGAATGGTACTTCAGCAGCTCCTTGGCCACGGCATGCGTCTGAATCGCGAGTTCCCTCGTCGGACATATCACAACAACACCCGTACCGTTCCGCGGAGTGAACTGAGCGTTGTACAGCAACTCCACCGCCGGAACCAAAAACGCTAGGGTTTTCCCAGCACCCGTTCTCGCAGCACCCAGCACGTCCTTTCCGATCAGCAGCGGCGGAATCGCCCTCGCTTGAATCTAAATTGAGCAAGTACAACTTTACTTATATGAAAAAAATCTATCAATTAATTAAACCAAAAAAAAAAGGAAATGTAGAAACGGCGTTACCTGAGTCATACGGTGGAAGCCCATGTCCGCAATGGCTTTGGAAGTAGGTTCGGACAAGCTAAGGGAGGAGAAAGACTCGGAACTCATGATTCCCGACGAATCGTTATTGCTCACCTTTATCTCTTCATCTTTTCGTTCATCTTCTTCTTCTTCTTCATCTTCGGTTTGTGTCAGCGCGCTATCAATTTTATCATCGTTCTTCTCCTCTTGTTTTTGCGTGGTCTTGTTTGGTCTTTTTCTCTTGCGATTCTTCTTCTTGTTAGCTTTGGTTTGGTCCTCGCGCTCGGACGAGGTGGGCTCGTTGTCTTCTGCTTCGGCCATGACTGCTTCTGGTGCTTTTTTGCTCCTTCTAGTGTCTGCGACAGCCGAAGGAACAAACTCTCCTCTCTATCGTTAAACCCTAGTACCGGTGGTTTTCTTGTGGGTTTTTCTTTTTCTTTTTCAGTTAAGTTTAATATATAAATATATTTTAGTTATTGAGTTTGGGTATTTTTTCAGTCCTTTAAATTGAATTTTTTAATTCTTAATTTCAGAAAATAATTTTATTTTCCTTCTTACAGTGGTTAATATGATTAAATACATTTATATTAATAATATATTTGACTAAAACAATGACGTTTAACCATATTTTAAAGTTGTTTACTAAAATATTTCTTATTTTTTAAATATAAAATAAACTTTGTTTTAATTCCTCCAATTTAAAAACCATTTTTTAGCCTTTAAATTTAAAATTGATTATTGTGCTGACTCTCAAATTGAAAAAAATATTAAATTTTTAATTCAAAATTAAATATGATATTTTTTATTTTATTTTAGTCTTTTTTTTGAGAAAAAAGAAAAGAAAAATGAAATAGATATATAACATCTATCAGAACTTTTTTATTTATATGAATAAATTTAATGAACTAACAATATATTTTAAACCATTTATGCATTAGACACAAAGTTGTTGCCATTACAAAATAACCAAAACAGATTGAGATTGTTGTTTCACCAAAAAATCAGTCATTAAAAATGTGGTGAGATCACTGATTATTCAATCAACACCAAGGTAGATAATTCCTAAAAGAAACACCAAAGAAGTGGTATAACTTCAATGAACAAGTTAATGAAAAAAAATAGTAAAATAAATAACTAATAAAAAGTATAAGTTAAAATTATTATTCTCTTTAATAGAGATACTATTATATAAACTTATATAGACATTAACATAACAAGATAAATATTATTAAGTTGAAAATAATAGTAAAAAAAGATAATCAAATTATTAAACTTTATATTTATACAAGTTCACAACAATAGTTAAGATATTTTTTAATTTTTTTAATATGGACGTGTATATATATAGGCTTTAAAATCCTAAAATTCAAAAAACACGAAAAATTTAAAATTTAATGTTCATATACACTCAAATATAATTAATTAGTACATGAGAAAGAATCTATATGAAAAAAAAATAAAAAAAATTGTTGCAAAGATATAAGTTTTCTGATTTTTCTATATATATTATTATTATTATTATATATATATATATATATATATATATATATTAATAACATACCTTTATTTATAGGAATAATATTTAAGTTTTTATTTATTAATTAATATTTTAATTAAATAAATTAAAATAATTATTATATTTATTAATTAAAATAATTAATTATAATAAAAAATTAAATTAAATTAAATTAATTAATTATTATAATTTAAATTATAATATATTTATTTATTTTAATAATATAATAAAAATATAATATTTTTAATTATAAATTTTTTAATTATAATTTTAATATGTAAATATTCTTTTAAAATTGATTTACCATTTAATAATTTTTGTCTTTAATCTGTCGATTTATTCCCAATTTTTAAGCAGGGATCGGCTAGTCGGATTCAACTTATATTTATGTATTCGTAGAGCAAGCGAAAGAAAAATTTTGTCATAAGAAAAATGATTTTGTTTCTTAAGTAGGAGGAACCAAATTAATTTTAGATTGACACATTAGTATTATTTATCTATTTTGTTTAATTTTATCCGCCAGTTAATAAATGGTTTGGTCCCTTTTTTTTTTTTTTTTTAAATTGATCCAGTTTATTCTCTTTTGTCCAATTTCTTTTATCTGCCTCATGCTAAAAATTCGAACCTATGTAAAGAAAACCATGTCTATTCTTAGAAAAATATAATTTGAAATTATTATTGAATACAAATTATTATGTAAAGCCATATAACTTAAAAGATATGAATTAAAACAGCAAATTCTTACATTACATACTAAAATAGGAGTATAAAAAAATAGTAGAAGAAATATTAATTAAATTTACTTGATATCCAAAAATATCATTCAACAGACATTAAAATTTTTTTTACTAAAAACAATATTTTGTTGAAAAAAAAATTAAATGATTCCTGAGTTGTCCAAATTAACTTAAAATGTTACATTGTACAGACCCAAAATATATCTCGTATATGTGTTGAAACCTGCTTGAAACTTCAACTGGGTGACACAAAGAACCATAAAATGTGGGGCCAAGGATTAACTGTTTCAGCTACATTTGACCGTTACATACAAAGAGAGCAATTCAAAATTAGTACTGCAAAATTCAAAACTATCTACTCTCTACTGTTCTACCTTCTCCTACGACACTCCCATTTAGTTTTTTTCACCTACATTTTTTCAGTAAAAAAAAGGATAGAATTTCAATTTCAACGATGAAGAAGGCTTTTGAGATTAGGTGGCGTAATTAGTTGAAAATGGAGCTTCAACATCAGATTCCCTCCGCTTAAAGCTCATCCTCGCCGATCCATCGTTTCCTTCCGAAGCCAAACCATCTGATTCCAACCGAAGCTTAACAAACTGACCAAACAAATCTCACAATGCCCGTGTCGACTCGGTCCCAGACACCGAACGAGTCAAACTCGCCGCACGATGACTTGAAGGGGAAGATGAAAGCGCTTCTGGCATTATACGAGGAGCATAAGCAGAAGCATATCGCTGCAGCTCCCAAGATCCCTTCTTTGGGGTCCTCAAGGGAGAAAAACGGGAGGCGCATTCTGGTGTTCGTGAGGGCGAGGCCATTGACGAAAAAGGAAACGGAAACGGGTGCGCGCTGCTGCGTCAGAATCATGGATCGCCGTGACGTTTACCTAACGGAGTTCGCCGCCGAGAAGGATTATCTCAGGTTGAAGAGGCTCAGGGGTCGCCATTTCACCTTCGACGCTTCGTTTCCACACTCTGCCACTCAGCAGGAAGTTTATTCCGCCACGTGAGTTTCGTTTTCCATTTATAAAATTATTACTGGCAATTTAGGTATTCTTTTAGGGAAAGAAAATCATGGATACAATGATTTAGATATTTCTTTTTATGACGTACATAAGTATTATTGTTGATCTACTTTTCCATTAAATTGAGAATTTAATTTTGGTTATTTATATTTTTTTTAAATACATTGTATATTATCTAAATATAGTTATAGGATTAGAGTTTCTTAGCATGTTAGTTATAGAAATCTAATTTTGATTAACTAAGAAGCACCCAAGTTATTGCATGTTATTACTAGTATATGCTCTCAGTTTAGCTAACTTCTCAGGAAACCCTTGCAATGGAATAAAAAAAAATGTCATGAATATATTGAAAAGTTAAAATTAATCTCTATAAGAAGATATTTTAAAAGTTCTCACCTATTTGTTTAAACTAGTTTGAATTTGCAGAGAAGCTTATTTTATTATCTTTTTAAACGTGTTACACTGTAAAAAAGGAAATTATCAGATGAATTCCCATTTCAATAGTTACTTGATTAATTTAACATTTTGAAAACTTAAGGAACGCGGATGTATTTGATTGAGCTTATTTAGAACCTTTTCCTTCATTTTCTTAAGAGTTGAAAAAAGATTACATATTTAAAAAATATATATACCAACATGCTATGTGGTCATTTTTATGTTCAAGAGACTAGGCTCCATTTGTCTACCTTATTGCATTTTTTTGTCCTTTGATAAAACTGGGTATCACTAATGATAGAAGCAATGTTTTCTATAGACTAATTTTGATTTCTCAATTCGTCTTCAAACTGTAAAAAAGAATCATGTTGTTTTGATGTTAGTATCAATAATTGTTGTGGGTGTTATTCATATGCTATATCATTTTCTAGAGATAAATATGTTACAATAAATTGCAATTTTGCTTGTTTTGACATCACTGATGTGTTGCTTTTTATCTTCTCTTCTATAGTGTAAGTGGGGCTTGTTATTTTCTGACAACTTCTGTATGCGCATTTTATTACATGCTTAGTTGTTTTGCTTGATAGGGGTTCGGCGGGAAAAAATAGAAGGTCTTGTGGGGGGAGGATTGAATTGTTATGTCAATATTATTACTAATTGATTGAGCTTCAAGCTCAATGGCGTTTGGGGTTATGCCACTTTTTTTATATTGTACTTGGAAATTAAACCCTTAAGAGAAAAGGGTTTGGTCGCAGTATAGAATCTTTCTGTGCTTAATTTTCAGCGTGCATTTAAAATGTTATTGCTCAGGCAGTTATTTATGTTTCATGGAAAGGTACATTGACTTTACACTTTCAGAACCTCAGAACTTGTGGAAGCCGTTCTGCAAGGGAGGAATGGGTCAGTTTTCTGCTATGGTGCCACTGGAGCTGGAAAGACTTACACAATGCTTGGAACAGTAGAGAATCCTGGTGTGATGGTGTTGGCTATCAAGCATCTGTTTAGTAAAATCAGGATGAGAAGTTGTGATGGAAACCATGCGATTCATTTATCCTATCTTGAGGTTTATAATGAAACTGTCAGGGATCTGCTTTCACCTGGAAAACCTCTGGTTCTAAGAGAAGATAAACAGGTCTACTTTCTTATCTGTAAATAATGTTAAATCTTCCGAAATATTCAAGAGAGCATTGTTTATTATCTGCAGAGCATGATTATCCAACTCTTGGGTCAACTTGCAAACTTGGCCGAGTTTACGAGTTTACTTATTGGTTATGAGTCAACTCTTTTATAAACTAATTTTTGTGATGGACTTAAAGTAAACTTGGCTAATTAGGGGTCCACCCGAAGTAGACTCGGAGCAGATATTTTTTTTTCATATGAAGTATTTCTTGTGAGTCTGAGTCATGTCCATGGAGTTTTCACGATTCTACATAAAGACTTTGGAGTTTGATCATCATGCTGCTTAGTTACATACATATTATAGTGCATCTGATTTTAGAAGAAAATGCTTGTTCTGGAGATAAATCTGAGAGGTTTATTTATGATATTGCTTGATGCTAGTGTTTGGTCATATATTATTTGCAAACATAAGCCAAAGTTTTGACAAAGGCATCAAACGTTAATTTCTCAATAGACTCTACTTTTCAATTGTATCCTTTACATTGTCTAATTATGTTGTAGGGGATTGTTGCAGCGGGTCTTACACAATACCGAGCTTATTCTACTGATGAAGTAATTTTCTGACCAAGTTTGTTAGATTTAGAAGTTTAGACAGCTGTTCGAACTCCCAGAGAAATTTCTTTCTTTTCGTTATTGCTTCAGGTCATGGCATTGCTTCAACAAGGAAATCAGAACAGAACCACAGAACCAACTCGTGCAAACGAAACATCTTCACGCTCTCATGCTATTTTGCAGGTAAAGAGTGAAAGTTTTTGAGGGAAAAAATGAGCAATCCCTTAAATGTTGTGATTGTGACGTGCTTAATTTTTTATATCTAGGTTTTGGTTGAGTACCGAGTTAGAGATGGTGCAATGAATATTAACAAAATGGGCAAGCTCTCATTGATTGATCTTGCAGGGTCAGAGAGAGCTCTTGCCACAGATCAAAGAACAATTAGATCTCTTGAGGGTGCCAACATAAACCGGTCTCTTCTAGCACTAAGCAGTTGCATTAATGCTCTCGTAGAAGGCAAGAAACACATACCATACCGAAATTCAAAACTCACTCAACTTCTCAAGGACTCATTAGGAGGATCTTGCAACACTGTCATGATTGCAAACATAAGCCCGAGTAATCTTTCATTTGGAGAAACCCAGAACACTCTTCATTGGGCTGATAGAGCCAAGGAGATTCGAACAAAGGTCAAATTCTCTTTTACCTGTTAGTGTATATAGATTTATATTTTACAATTCTGTTTTGACTCAGATTCTGTTTTGGTCTTATTTCCTTTATTTTGTTATACGGTTGTAACCACTCTAACAGCTCAGCCCTAGGGACTGTAATCCTTTTCTCTTCTAGGTTCTCTCTATATAAAGAGAACATTCTAATCAATCAAGTAGAAAAGAAAGTTGAGAATAACTTTCTTCATTTATCACTTGTTTCCTTTCTCTGTTAGAGTAAATTTAATTCTAATATGGTATCCAGAGCATGAAGCCTAATTTATGGGCACTGGTCCTGAGCTCACAACTCGTCCTTCTCCAATGGCTTCTTCGACTCCAGTCATCTTCTCATATGCTATATCCGAAAAATGATCAGATACTAACTTTTTTACTCTAGAAGCAGCAAGTTGAGCCTGTGATCAAAGTGCATCGTCTTCATCAATATCTCGTCAATCCTTCCATCCCCTCCCAATTTTTATCTCTCTTTGATCGTGATTTAGGGATTGAAAATCCAGAATACACCACTTGGGAGACCCAAGATCAACTATTACTTTCATGGTTGTAGTCCTCCTTATTTGCCTCATTCTTAGCGTGTATCCTTGGTTGTAACCATGCATTTCAAGTTTGGGATAAAATTCATACCCACTTCAACTCTCAAACAAAGGCTAGGGCTCGTCAGTTGCGTACTGAGTTTCGCACCATCAAGAAAGGTGATAGCTCTATCAATGAATTTCTTATGCGTATCAAGGTTCTTGTTCATTCTCTTAATTCAATTGGTGATCCTGTTTCTGAGCACTAACAATTAGAAGTTCTCCTTGAAGGCCTTCCCGTTGAGTATGAAGCCCTTCTTTCTCTCATGCATAGCAAACCTGAACTCTTCTCATTCTCTGAAATAGAGTCCTTGCTTGTTGCTCAAGAAGTACGCCTGGAAAGATTCAAACATGATAATGACAGTGTCTCTCTCAATCTCACTGACGCAAATTCACAAACAACTTCAACCCCAATTGTTCAAGTCACTCAGATGAGCTCGCAGTCTAATCCGCATTTTTCCCATCCTTCCTCTACAAGGGGTGGTTATTATTAGCGTGGCAGATCTAGTCGAGGTCACAGGGGTGGACGCTCTGATCGTGGCACAGTTCAATGCCAAGTTTGTAGCAAGTATGGTCATATTGCTTCGGTTTGTTATTTTCGCTTTGACCCCAACTATGTGGCTCAATCATATACTTTTTCCCCTGCGCCGCCTCAACAATTTTATTCCTCCTATCCACCTTAGTTTCATGGAAATCAGGTTACAGGGTCTTCTTTCTCACCACGTCCTCATCAACCACATCCTATGTCATCTGTTCCACCACCTCAACCACATGCATGTTACTCATGCCACACCTGTCCCAGTTCCTGCATAGCAGTCTCAGAACTGGTTTGTTGATTCTGGAGTTTCGCATCATATAACCTCTGATGGCACCAATATCATTGACCTTATGCCCTCTTCCAAGGATGACCATGTCTTCCTTGGTAATGGACAAGGTTTGCCCATACATCTTTCTGGTTCTGTAATTTTTTCCTCTTCTCACAATCCACACATTTCTTTACAGCTTAAAAATCTGTTACATGTGTTTGTCCTTAATAAAAACCTTGTCAGTGTTAGTCGGTTTGCCAAAGATAGCAATGTGTATTTCGAATTTCATTCTTCTGTTTGTTTTATCAAGTCTCAGGTTTATCACTCTATCTTGCTTCGTGGCTACCTTGTTCGTGATGGTATGTATCAGTTTCCTCTGCCTCCGCTGCATTCTTCGCTCATGCCTCCTCTTCATGCTCCATTTGTTTCTATTGTTCACAAATCACTCTCTGTTTCCACTATACCCACACACAAGTTCACTATGTTTTCCCTTTGGCATAATAGGCTAGGTCATCCTTCTGTTACAGTTTTACAAAATGTTATTGAATGTTGTAATCTTCCTCCATTAAATAAAACAACTTCTGATTTCTATGTAGCATGCTGTATGGGAAAGTCTCTCCAACTTCCTTCACAATCCTCTTTAACTTTTTATACTCAACCGTTACAACTTGTTTATTGCGATTTATGGGGTCCTTCGCACATTAAGTCTTCCATGGAATATACCTATTATGTTTCCTTTGTTGATGCATACAACCGATACACTTGGATCTATTTTCTAAAGCAAAAATTTGAAACCATCCATGTTTTTAAACAGTTTAAAGTCTCTGCTAAACTTCAATTGAATTCCAAAATAAAAGAAATTCAAACAGATTGGGGTGGTGAATTCAAACCTTTCACTCATTTTCTCACTTCTCTTGGTATTCATCATTGTCTTATATGCCCTCATACTCACCATCAAAATGGTGTAGTAGAGCGCAAACACCGTCACATTGTTGAAATGGGTCTTACCCTTCTCTCCCAAGCCTCTTTTCCCATGTCCTTTTGGGACCATGCTTTCCACACTATCGTTTACATCATTAATCACCTTCCCTCGTCTACTGCACCTCATCGTATTCCCTATTCCACTCTTTTTCAAAAAGACATCAACTACAACTTCTTCAAAACCTTTGGTTGTGCCTATTTTCCTCACACACGTCCTTCCAATACCAATAAATTGCAGTTTCGGTCCACTGCTTGTACCTTCTTAGGATATTCCCCTTGTCACAAAGGATACAAGTGTTTTGATACTAATGGCAAAATCTTTGTCTCTAAGGATGTTGTTTTTAATGAACATCATTTTCCCTTTGCCAATCATGTTCAGTCTCCTTTGTTAGCACCTTCATCCTCTCGGGTTCTTCCTCTGGGCATCATTCCTTCTGTGACTAATTCTCCCACACAACATGCTCTACTTCTGAAACATCTCTTGTTCTGTCTCCTACTGTGTCTTCCTCCTCTCATGACCACTCTTTAGATCAGCCTGTTGTTCCTCCTTTTCACGTGTCTCCTACACCTCAATCATTGCCTCCTATTTTGCCTTTACCATCCCAACCAACTCATCCTATGCAAACCCGCTCCAAATTTGGGATTGTTAAACCCCGTCGCTTTCCCACCTTATTTCTCAGTGTTGCAGAACCTTCTACTGTTAAACAAGCCTTGTCTTCTCCTCCTTTGTGCCAGGCTATGCAGTGTGAATATGATGCGTTGATGGCAAATCAAACCTGGACTCTCGCTGCTCTTCCTTCTGGACATACTGCCATTAGTTGTAAATGGGTCTTTCACATTAAAGAAAACCCAGTTGGTTCTATTCAAAAGTATAAAGTACTGTTGCAATCTCTCATATCAAAACTGCACGTTGTCTTCGCTCTTAAACAACTTGGTGATCTTGAGTATTGAGGTAAAACGTCTTCCTAATGGATCTTTTCTCCTTTGTCAAACAAAATATATTCGTAATCTGCTTGAAAAGGCTGGCATGACAGAAGCTAAAGGCATTTCCACTCCTTTTCAAGGTGGACTCAAATTCTCCAAATACGGCTTTGACTATATAGATAATCTTGCTCTTTACCGGTCCATTGTGGGTGCCTTGCAATATATCACTATAACCAGGCCTGAGATTGGTTTTAGTGTCAATAAAGTTTGCCAATTCATGTCTCAACCGTTATCTGATCATTGAAAAATTGTCAAGCACATCTTACGTATCTCAAGGGTACTCTTTCTTATGGATTACATCTTCAACCTTCTCCTAGTCCTACCAAGTATACTCTCACTGCTTTTTGTGATCCCGACCGACTCGTCTCCGCCCCGAGTTTGACGGGGAAAACCCGAGTTGACCGGGGGCGGGATGGGTAATGCAATCCCCACCCCTACCCCGGCCCCGTCCCCGCCCCGTCCCCGTCCCGCCCGCCCGACTTTATATTTAAATTTAAATTTTAAAATATTAATATTTTAAAAGTATTTTCTTTTCTTTTTTATTACATAAAAGGTTATTTTTTTTATATTTCACCAATTTTTATTTTTCTTCTACCTATTTTTTAATTTTTTTGTCTTTTTTAATCTTTTATATCAATTAATTTATTACATTATTCTCTCTTTTACCTTTCAGTTTTTCATATTTCCTTAATCTCTCCCATCAATTTGTTTTTTTTTCAATCTTTTCAATCAATTTGATGAATACAAAGTTAATTTTTTTTTATTCTTTATCTTTTTCTAAATATTTTACATAAATCTTAGTAGTAACTAATATGATTTTATTTATAATTTATATTTATTAGGTTTTATTATGTCATTTTTTATCTTATTATTTTTATTTATCATATATCAAATTTTATCTTAATAAAATAATTGTATTTTAAAGGATTAAAGGAATTGATAATTTAAACTTTTATTATTTTGAACTAATTGAATAATAATTAACTTATTAAATATTTCCTTATAAACTATATATTTTATATTTTTAAATGACAACTTAAAAATGAATTAACTTATATATATAATCAAATGTTTGAATACAATATTATAATAATAATAATGTTATAAGTATTCAAATATTTGAATACAGATATTATAATAATAATAATAATGTTATAAATAAAAAATGATTATATATTTCATTTACATACATATTTTAATATAAATATAATAAATTAAAATGTATATTTAATTATAATAATTATAAATTATAAAATTATAAATATTTATTTATATATAAAAAATAGATAGTAAAATTAATTTATTATATAAATATAATTATCTTTTTAAAAATAATATAGATCGGAGACGGGCGGTGCGTGAACCCAAAACCCAGCGGGAGCAGAGAACCACGGGGATGAGAACTTAATTTCTAATCCCCGCGGGGATCGGGGAGGCCAAACCTGCCCCGCCCCGTTCTATGCCTACCTCAGATGTTGATGACCGAAGATCCACTTCAGGGGCTTGCATATATTTCGGTAAAAATCTGGTTTCTTGGTGGTCTAAGAAACAAACGTTGGTTGCTCGGTCAAGTGCAGAGGCGGAATATCTCAGTCTTGTTATCACTGCTTCTGAAATCTTATGGTTACAATCTCTTCTTAAAGAGTTAAGAATTTCTTGTGACACACCGGTCATCTATTGTGATAATCAGAGTACAGTTGCTTTGAGTCATAATCTAGTTTTACACTCCCATACAAAGCACATGGAATTAGACATATTTTTCGTTCGAGAAAAGGTTTTGGATCGATCTTTAATTGTCTCTCATATTCCAGCCAGTGATCAAGTTACTGACATCCTCACCAAATCCCTCTCTCAAGCTCGGTTTAGTATCTTACGTCACAAACTCAATGTTATTGATTCTTTTCAATAACTTTGTGTTCGAGGGGGAATGTCAGTGGATATATAGATTTATATCTTCTAATTTTGTTTTGACTCAGATTCTGTTTTGCCTTTATATCCTTTATTTTGTACGGTTGTAACCACTCTGACTGTAATCCTTTTCTCTTCTAGGTTCTCTCTATATAAAGAGAACATTCTAATCAATCAAGTAGAAAAGAAAGATGAGAATAACTCTCTTCATTCATCACTTATTTCCTTTCTCTGTTAGAGTAGATTTAATTCTAATATTACCATTTCTAGCGTGTTCATATACATACTAGTATCTTCCAAATGTTTTCATAAATCAATATACATTCACGTTGACATTTAGGTCATCAAAAGATACAGCAAGCAATTTTATGTTCTTCAGTTTATCACTTCTGCAAGTACAGTGTTGAAAACTTTTAAACCTGTTTTTATGTTTTTTGCAGGCATATAATGCAAATGAGGATGTATTGCGAGTGCCTGAGACAGAAACAGACCAGGTCAAGTTAGTACTTGAGCTGCAAAAGGAGAATCGTGAATTGCGAATGCAGCTAGCGCAACAGCATCAGAAACTTGTGACACTTCAAGCACAATCCTTAGTTCCCCCAACACCGCCTTCAGCTACATCTCTTCTTTCCACTCCTCCAACTTCTGCCCCGCCAAAAGAAAAACGAAGGACCAGACCCTCTTTCATAGCTGCAACTCATATCACTCCAGAGACTAAGGACAAGGGAGATGAGGTAGCTGTCAGAATCAGAACACTTCAACAAAGAGTAAAAGCCTTGGAGGCAGAGCTAGATAGAGTGAAAAAGGATAACAGTTCGCAGCTAAAGCTGAAAGATGATGTCATTCGGGAACTTTCGAGAAAGGGTGGGAAAAAAGTGGCAGTAGCAGGGACTAGTCTACGGCCAAAGGAGGCCAACACCGGAGAATTGAAGAGTCCAAGCCATCGTTTCCGGTCCCCTGTACCAACTGCAAGGAAACGAAGCTTTTGGGACATAACCACCGCCAACAGCCCATCAGTTACCACATTGAATGGGAGAAAAACTAGAAGTTATGTCATTTCTGAACCTACTGCACATCCATCTATGCTTCTTCAGGTCCAGTGTGTTACTTTTCACCTTATTTTTCACCTGCATGTTTCAGCAGCATCAGCATATAACAAAATTAAATCTATATAGATTTGCAATAATATCTACTCTTTTAACAGTTAGTTCTGAACACTCACGACATGACTCTTTTTTCTTATGTTTATCTCAAAGAAAAGAAGTTAATTATAAAGAAAAAAAAAACTTATATGTCATGTTTCTAGTTGAAGTACATACTCCCTATGATTCCATTACACTGAAACTTTTTTCCCGATAGAGAGATGATGATTCTTAGTAAAGTAAACGACGTTTTCTTTTTCTTTGCGGTGTTACTGATCCATCTTGTGGATTACATTATTCAGCCCGGATTTGCTCGAACAAAAGGTTATATTACGTGATCTTCTAGGAGGAGTTACAAAAGGAAGTTTAAGGACAGAAGGCCAAGTACAGAAGGTCTGCTATTTTTTTATTTTTTTTTCAAGACCCTGATACGACCAAAATTTCTCTCCGGTCAAGTGGTGGCTCAATATGAAAGAGATCAATGCAGGTCGGTGTGCTCCTCCTCCTTCCATCTTTATCTCTTCTTGTGTAATTCAATCATAGGAATTAGGATGATACTTTCTCTAGCCTAGGTGTAGACCAATGTGATGCATTACATGCTCACATCACATGCTTCATTGAAGCTTTTGGATAAAAGTCCAAAATCATTATACATTTGTACATTATTTTGTTCGTTTACTAGTTTGATTTGGAAAATTAACTCCCCAGCTCACCAATTTTCAAACTAGGTTCATGAATATTTAAAGATAAAAGATGTTAATGTTATGAAATAAACAAGTCCAGGTCAATATTAAATTATTAAAGGAAAGCTTAACTACTGACAATAATAAACTAGCGTTCTTAGTTAATACGAAATAACTTTTGAAATAAAAATAGGAGAGACCCTAGAATGGAATTTTTTCCTGAAATAAAATTATAAAAATAAAATGATAATAATATAATTAATTTATTATATTTCAAATTATTATGTTAAATTTTGTACATTGGTTATTAAAAAAAATTATATTATAAAAATAATAATATAAGTAACTAAATAGAAATTTAAATGATTTTTAAAAAAATATTATTATTAAAATTAATTTAGTATATTTGTATTAATTTGATTGATATGAATATGAGACGGTAAATAATAATAATAAAGATAACATGTTTTAAAATTGTATTTATTAGAGGGAGGTAACACCTATGGTGAAGTCAAATAGTAATACAAGAGTATAAGTGTACAAGAATGAGAGAGTGAATATGTCTAGAATGATATTGTTATATTTATAGGTCTAATGATTAACTAAGGGTATCATGATTTTCTTGTAATCAAGTCTATTTTAATTTATGTATTGATGTTAAATAACTATTAAATTAATAATAATAAAATTTAAGAATTCTTATTGTGTATCATATACAAATTTCGAAATATGAAGATATTGAAGATGAATGTGCTCTATCTAAACTCAGGAGTCAAATTTTAGATTTCAATAAAGAAAGGAATTAATCAATGAGACAAATATCAAATATTTTTAAGCAATTGAACAATTTGTTTAAATTAACTCATTCATCTATTTATGATAAACGAATTTTAATTATTTAAATTTTCAGAAGAGTTAATATGATTCACAATATTGACTTAAGCTTTTGAAAGTGTTAATATATTGTTATCTAATCAATATGATGTATAGAAGACTCACACTCTTTATGATACTCAAATGTTTAATTGAAGTGTTTAAATAAAGTCGTGTTTTTAAAATATTGGTATTTCTATCCAAATTTATAATAATGAGTTGACTTATTCTCATTAATAAGTAATTATGTACAAATGAGTTAATGTGTATGTTTATTGATTATTTCTTCTTCTTATTTTTCTTGTCTGTTATTACTCATCACTACTTTGTGTGGCATAGTTAATTGATGATGTTATTAATTGTAGCTCAATATTATTGTGCAACGTTGATTACTCATTCTTTTTAAACCTAGCTTTTATGTTTTTTCAAGACATAACATCTAATATCATGCTTTATAAATTAATGCATAACTAGTTACTTACACTTTTTGAGATTGAACATTCTATATTATGCTCATAGATATAATTTAATGCATAATTGGTGGTGTTTATGCTTTTATGAATTGTAACGTTTTATGTTGGTTATTTATGTTATTACGAGTTAGAACATTTTATGTTATGGTGAAAGTGATAACTTGATGCATACTTCATTGCATATGTTATTCCAAGTTTAAACATTTTATGTTATGTTAAAAAAAATAACTTTTACATAATTTATTGTTTATATTATTCTAAACTAAGGCCTTTTATGTCGTGCTCAAAGAGATAACTTAGTGCATAGTATAACTCATTTATTCGAGTAAAATGCACTTGTTTTTATTTTAAGGAAGATGTGCAACTTGTTTATCGTGAGAAAGATGTATAATTCCTTTATCTTAAAAAGTTATGTCTTGAATGCAATAATAAAGAGTTAAATACATAATAACTTGAAATCAAATATTAAAAACTTAAAAACTTGTATTTTAATTGGGTGTGGTATACTGTGATAATATTATTGTATGTCAAATAAGGAAAAATATTAATTTAAAGACGAATTTTGCATTTTATTAATTATTTTAATAAAATAGAGATATATTCTTTTAATAAATATATTTTTAAATATAATAATAATAACTTATAAATTTAATATCATGTAATGGAATATATAATAATTTTTAAAAGAATAATAATTCTATTTAATATAATTTTGTAATAAATTTAAATTAAAAAACAAAGGAATTGTGCCTAATATTGGATTGAGAATTTTATAATATATTTGTGAATATGTTATAAACAAATAAATATCAATATATTTATATAATATTTAAAAAGATAAAATAATAGTAAAAATATACAAATATCCTGTTTGAATGAATAAACTAATTTTGAAAAATATTAAAAAATAAAAATATTACAATATTTGTTATTATCAAATTTTTAATAATTATATACATTTATCGAAGTTATTTTTAGATTATTTACATATAACAACATAAAAAAACTATACTATTATATACTAACAATAAAATGAACAATATATATATATATATATATATATATATATATATATATATACAAATAAAAATAATTATAATATTATATATGGTATTTTTTTCAACAAAATATTGTCTTGTATAAAAGAATAAAATAATATTATATATATAAAAATAAAGAAATATATTGTTTCATCAACGATATTTTCATATATAATAGATTAAAATAAATATAAAACTCTATGTCAACAAAAGTAAAGAGATATATTCTCTCACCAAAAACATGTTAATAAATAATAGGTTTATCAATAACCGTAAATTACATAATACAATGTCAGTCTAATATAAATTATATATAGACTAGTTAAAATATATTATATAATAATAAAAATGTTCCTACTAAAAGTAGTATATTGTAATAAAATGATAATATCATACAACATTTTGTGAAATTTTTCTATGCATATCTCATTAGATTTAGATTTTGTAGTATATGATTTGAATGATTAATGATTGAAAAGTATTATAATTCTTGTACATATTAATGAATTGAAACAATCAGGAGTATAGAAAATATAATCTTAGTAGATCTTAACACCTTTACATAATATGGTGATATGTAATTCAAAACAAATTTAATGAATAAAGCATGTGAGGTCTATTTTATATTTTTTTAATAAATAAAAATGACTTCTTTATAAAACTACAAATTAAATTTTTCATTTTTGGATTCTTTAAATTAAAATACTTTTAAAAAAAAGATAGAACTTAGATAAATTATTTAAAAGAAAGTCAAAGTTGTATAACAGGAAATTATACAAGATGAACGTTGAATATCCCACTATGAACGTTGAATATTCTTAAAAAAATTGTAAATTTTTAACATGATAATATAAGATGAAGAGTGAATTATGAAATGATAAGATATAAAAAAAATCATTTACAAAGATTATTCCAAGATGAAGTCCATAATAATACATATAAAAGAAAAAAAGAAATACAAGTTTATAAAAATGAAAAGTTAATAATATGTATAGAAATTATCCTATAAAAAAGTGGATACATCAACGTGATAAGACATTCTTATACTCAACATTAACCATTTAGATGAAGACAGAAGCATATGTTGATCCTAAAGGCATAACAAACTCATCCAAGAAAATATTATCATTCCCTTGGTCTAGAGGACCTACCAAAAATTTCTTCTCAAGGCCTACCTGAAATTTTCTGACCCTGCATTGCATTCCATCTGATTTTGGAATCTTTTAATGAAATCAATTATCTGATCCTATCATTCAAGTGGGACCCAAGACAGCACATATCCCAGAGAAGGGACAAGTGGTAGTGGTGCCTTGAAGTCCTTATATGGGGTAGCCGTCTTATGAAATATACACAAAACTGTCCTAAATCAAACAACAACCTGATGTGCTTCTTCAATTATAACATTACTCATAATGACATGTAGCCCACCTGGGTGGTCACTACTTCCATTGTTTTCATCTTTTTTCTTCATCCATGAAGCTAGTAGCAGGATGGAGGCTGCAACACCAAATAGACCCTACAATTAAAATTTTGTAAGCGGAAACAAATGAACTTTGTAATTGCTTGTGAACAACCTTAATATACTCTCTTCTTCTATCTCTTTTCTCAGTGGTGGGTTAGGGAATTTTGGTGCACTAATTGGAGCCATAATGGTTATAAAGCATTGGCCAGACTTTATGTGCAGCAATTGGCTTTTGTTTAGAAGAATGATGACTAGATGATGAACAACTTCGGTTTTGGTGAAAGAAATCTTAGGAATTTGGTTTTGACCTTGCTGTATGCCATATGTATTCCCACCTTCACTCTGTTCTCTCAAGTTGCAAGGAAATTGTAGAAAATTGAAAGCCTGAAAACAAGGAAATGGGAAAAGCAAAAGAGTTTGACACTTTCACTGCTGTGAGCCAGCTAGCCACATAAAAGATCTCGTTTTGGGAATTACTTATTGCATCATTCTTTTGGGTCAGTTGCACTACCATTGATTTTCAATTTTGGAAGAGTATTTAATAATTTTATCTTGCAATTACAATAAAGAAATGGTACCAAAATCCCATCTTCTTTCATCCTTGTTAAGGGTGGTGGGAACTGGTGTAGTCCACAAGTTTCAACTCATGCTGCACAAACTACTATGAACCATATAAACTGATGAAAATGTCGCACACATTTGAATTAGACAAACTAAAGAAAAGCAGTCAACAAGAGGGAAAGCTAATGGCCAATGTATGAAGAAAGGCAAAAGGAGGAGAAGATGGGGTCTGCTGTCAGTAATCAGATATAAATCTTCTTTAGCATATGTACATATTTCTTTTATGACTTCTATGATTGGGGTTCTATAGAATTTATTGGGATCATTTCACAAACAGAAAACAGTTCATAAAAATAAATGATTGGAACAATCGTAGCTTTAGACCAAATACTGAATTTCTGTGGCATTGGGAGGATACCGATAAAGTATCCTAACTAAACAGGGAAAGAAGGAATTAGAATAGAATACAAAATAAGGGCATTCAAAACTTATTAAACCAATGATAGGGACATGAGATGTGAACACAAAGTTTATTCACCATTTGGAATTGAACAAAATGGCATGTTGAATTTATCAAAAGTTATTCAACCAACTAAAAGTGCCAAGATAATGATGATTAGCATTAACCTCTGTCTCTCATCATTAATTAAAGGATTGGAAAGGAAAAATTACACATATACACCTTTCATGACCCACCTCACACCAATATGCTGTAAAGTATTGGTTACCCACTATTCCCCACCTTCCTGACTTAGCCTACTCTCCTATTCTAACAAGAAAGAAAAAAGTAAACCCACATCTTATACCACAGGAAAAAAGAAAAGTGAAAAAAATAAAAAACATAAGAAAAAAACCTGGAGAGGACTAGATCACCATTTTCATGATTATAGAGCTAAGCAAGTAGAATACCAATGACCAAAACAAAGAGGAAAAGAAAAGGAAAATTAAGTATAATAAACAGATCTAGCATGGTTGCTACTAGACTCTAAGCAAGTAGACACTGAGCTCAGGAGCTCCATTGCTGTCAGGATTCATCATGTAGAAGGCTTCAGAGTCTCTGGACCCAACAATTCTCTCAAACTTGGCCCTCATGTACATGATTTCACCCTCTGACCCTGCTTCAGCTCCACTGCTATTATTTCCTGGCAAAACACCTGCACCCATTGAAATTGGTTCCACTGCTTTGAGGATATCCCAATCCTTTGGCCCACACTCTCTTCTGGTGGCAAATCCACACTTCTTGCCGTTGCAATAAGTCCTCCACACTGGCTCTTCCAGCAACCTCACGGACTTCTTCTCTGCTGCTTTCTCCTTGTCACATTCCAGGGCAATTCTGACCAACCCAGATGCCATTTCACGAACCAACCCACTGATTGGTGTTGCAAGCTCGATCAAGAAGGCTGGCTGGGAAGTGGGGTCCTTCTGGAATGAAAAATGTACATGGCCACGTCTATAGCCAAAGAGGGTGCCTACAACACGAGAACCAAGGCCAAAAGATGAGTTCAAGCGATTCTTGTTGAACACAGTGAGAACAGAGCGAATCCTGGAGACTGCCACTGCCTGCAATTTCTTCCTTGTTGCATGTGCTGTGGCTGCTGCAGGTGCTGAAGCCTCAGGAGCAACAACAACCTTGGCATCCTCTTTTTTATCCTCCTGGATGAATGATTCTGAAGTGGGATCTTCACCATCTTCAGTCCCAACCTTGTTTGTCCAGTGAAAATGCCTCTTGGAGGACATTTCTTGAGAGCTTCTAGCCATGACTGTATTCATCTGAGAAAGAAAAACCAGAATAGATGGGAAAGACAGAGAGAGAATCTAGCTGCCTCTTTTTTATTCCTGGTGATGGATTTCTGAGGCTTTAAATTTAATTAATTGTTCTTTGTAATTCCAGGCCTCTCCTTTGGTATATAGTGGTGTAAGAGAATCCTGACAAAAGAAACATGGGCAGTCCCCACCAGTTGATGTAGGAAATCGAACAGGGATGGGATAGTGTGCATTACAAGTGGAAAAAGAAAGGAATCTAAGGAGACATCGTGTTTGTAATTTCACTTTCTTGTGGGGCAGGGAGAGGGGATTGTGCTTGACCAACTCTTTTGACTTGAGGACCCAAAACGGTAGAAAAGGATAAAAAATAAAGCCAAAACAAACAAACCCCAAAGCTATCACTGTTCAATCTCGACATGCTACTCCCCTTCTCCATCCACCACGTCTTCTAGTGCAACGCTTCACGGTGGCCGTGACATCATCACTCATCAGTTGAGAGTTACTGAATTCTCGTGCCTCATGTTGCCTCCAGTGACTACAACACCTACCTACGAACTGACACCTCCCCATTTGGCCCCACAAAAACTCCTCTATATACTCTTTCCTATTACTCTTAATTTGTTCACAACATTTTTGTGATTCAACCCAAAATCATCACCCGAGTTCCTTATAATAATAGAAAGAGGCATCATGAATTAAAAAGAATATAAATGCTCACCTCACTTTGTTGAATAACAAAACAGACTTGTTTTTGGTAACTAGTACGAGTCGGTCTTGAAATTTGAAACAGATATCAGCATTTCATCTTCGGTGAGTATCTGTATTCAACATTCATTCTTCGATTCTCACTTGTTAAGATGTCTCTACAGAAATTACAATGTTACAAACAAATCAACCATTGAACTGAATAAATATATTTTGAGTTGTTTTCAACATTTCCGATATTTGTGGATGCATCATAATTAAACTAGTCACTCTTACAAATGTTTAATGAAAAGAAAAGCGTTATAAACTCGTTCAATTATTTGTGCACATACATTAGTTTAGATGAATACGTGTATCATATGCAATTGACCAAAGTTTGAGATTTTCATGGGCAATTTAGGCACGAAAGACATTCAATAAGTTACAAGGATGTGTTTTGGGTTTTTCTAATCTTTTAATGTATTTTTACTTAATCAAAATACTAAGCTTGTATATAGACCCTCACTATAATTTCACAATCATGTAAATACATAGTAAACTGACACATCATTCATAAACATACAACTTGATTTTTACAGAAAGGATGTTTTCAACTATCTTAGATTTAGACTATTCAAGATTATTGATATAAAATATGTTCTATATCTCAATTTCAATACTTAAATTTCTTATAATAGATCTCTTTCATATAGTTATTTCGATGTAATTATACTTGCAAACTTTATAATTTCAATAACCACTTTCTGATATTTAGGATTCTGTTTTGAAAATAATTTTCGATGACTTTCACTTTTATGACATCGAGAAAAAAGAATTCAAATTTGTCAAGAAGATAAAGATTTACTCGAACTTTAAATTTCTATAAACTAAAGATGAATTTGAAAGTATGATATAAAATTGAAGAACAAATCCAAAAACTATAAAATGTTGAAATATAATCCAAAAATCTTAAACGGTTCCAAAATTTTTTAAAATTTAGACTAAAATTACTTCCCCTGATAAGAAAGTAAAAAGTGATAACCAGATACACAAACATCATTCACATAATAGTCATATTTCTCCTATGTTAGGTCGTGTCGCTACTCATTCTTTCACTTTGTCTTGCAATGTGATTTCGAATAGATTCAACTATTTGGTACATGCCTTCCTTCAATCATAGTAACTTTTTCAATTCTTTAGCGATATCAACATTGACCTATTCCACTTCAATGTCATCTTTTGTCTATATCTTTTATTCTTGATCATTTCTTCATAATAAATCGATCAAGTCCTGATCAATCCTTTCTTGTGGGCATAATTCCATCATCAATAATAGACTAACTCTTCTCTAAATCACCTTGATCATTTTTCTTCTATATAACTGCTATTATCTATCGACTTAATTTTTCATCAAACCTTTCATGGCTTTTATATATTGACTATATATATAATTATAACAGATTATAATAGATTGTTACAATCTAATATAGCCACTATCGTCAAAATTAAGCCAAGAGCTGCTAGTTTAGGAGATACAACAGGTAAATGAAGTAATTTACATGTAATTCTAAATAGACCAAGGTTTGGATGAACTCCAATAATTACATTAACTTACAAATATGGATTACTAAAAGAACACAAATGGCGAGCACATTCACGTAGGCCAGCAAACTAGTGAATGGGGATTTGTGCAAAATCGAGCTAATTAACGCATACAGCAGAGACAGAGATGCTTGCCTATGCTTCAAGAAAATAAAGGTCCTAAGTTAGCTCTCTAAACTTTGGTCAGCGTCTGGCTGCTTGGAAGTAATGGCTCCTCCATTCATTCTGGCACGTGCCTCTGCAAACATCCTTTGCTGCTCAGCCAATGCTTCTTCCTCAGTCATTTCAGCCCTGTTGCTGCTCCACTTGGCACCTTTCAAAGAATCTTGCTGGAAGGTTTGAAAAATCAGTCAGAAAATAGTTCTTTGCTCAAAAGTCAATCTATAAACAATAATGGATTTGATGATGCATAATTCACTTTACCAATACATCAATGGCCACAATAAGCACTAATACAAAAATACAAAAAATCCAGAACCTATACCGAGAAAACAAAAACTACAGATCATTCATCAACTCAATAACCAAGATGGATCATTCTTACATGAATCACAATCACGAATCACAGAACACTCTGTAGCACAGAATGAACCATACACAACTGGAGATTCATAAATCAAAGATAATTTCAATTTCACTAGCCAAAAATGATATAGGTTGTGATCTCAAACAGAAAATTTAAAACACTCAATGGAAAGGAGAGGAGAGGCAGTAAAACCACAGTTATCTGCTGTTAGAGTCTATCCAGTGCTTTGGCCTACACATCATTTTACTGGGTTCCTTTACAAACAATATAAGAATCCAGTCCGGGCCAGTAAAAACAAACAGTTCATGCTCCCGAAGACCACACTATAAACAGTATAGAGAAGCAGGGGAGTAAGTCAAGGTATCAGCCCATTATGATTTCTCCAGCATGAACTCCTACAGTGTAGGATATCTACACTTCATGGGTCACACTACCAGGTAATTAGTATGATTATAAGAGAACCATGCCAAACTTGGTCTTCTTTAGAGGAGAACAACAAGGAGGTCTGCAGGTTCTCCCCAATGAAAGACCATCTTAGGACAGGCAGGCAGCTCCACTAGTGTGGCTCAAAGATATGTAAAAACTCAAAAATGCTTTCTTTGTAATATTGTTCACCCATAAACAGTCATTGAAAAAACAGAAGATAAACAATTATGATGTGAAAGGGTAATATGTCATGCACATGGGCCAAAAACATTAAACAATCACCATTGTCTCCAGCTTGTGTTGTTCATATGCTGCATAAACTTCCTCAATGTAGTCTCCAAATCCGAGAACCTGTTAAAATCGTGTGAAAATCATTTGAAACATAAGGAGAATTGAAATGAAATAATTTGAAACATAAATTTTATTTACAAATCTTACACATTAAAGATAAAATACTAAATATATATTATAACAAGGATACATATTGCTCCAATCAATGTTTACATACAAGAAGCCCATCAATAGTTTGGGCTTCAGAATTAGAGTATGTATGAGTTTGCCACATTTCAATGTCTGGATGGGGGAAAGTACAGAACAACATTTAGGATGGACAAGAAAAACAATAAGCAAGGACAGGCTAATGAGAAAACATAAGGAGATATTCATTCTGTGATATGAAAAGCAGTAGCCTAGTCACAGTGCATATGTGAATATAGTGAAATCCTAGGGGTTTCATTTTGACAATAAAGTAAAAATACAAGAATAAAAAGGATTGCATCCTTACTACTAATATTTATTTTTGAAAAGCATATCTACAATATCAAGAATCTTTATCCAATCCCATGGCATTCCCAGCCAATCATTTTCACTATCCAAGAAAATAGTGCTTGTGCTACGTGGTAAACCTATATAACAAATAACAATGTGTATAATAATGTTCAGCCTGACTGCCTCCAACAACTACACAATTCACCTACTATCTAGAATTTCAAATACAATGAAAATCAATTATAAATTCTGATTACAGTGTAACAGGGTATGATCAGGGAATTAACCATCAGACTTCTGTAACCTGCTATCACTGGGTATCATTACTACATTACAACACAAAGTAAAATTGAGAATAACAGACAATTCACAGATAGAAACATTAGTGTTCAAAATTGTTCATGCATGAAACAAATGTAAGATATCACATAAAATAATCAAATACAAATTGAAAAGCATCCAAATTGAAAAGCATCCGCATGAAAACTTTAGTAATACAACAGTTCAATCATTAGAAAAATACCCCTAAAGCCTTCAACACGTGCTCCGGTGCAATTGTCCTTCTTTCCTCTTTGTTACAGACTTCATTGGACTCAGATGAGACAAGGTTTATAAATTCTATAATGATAGAGATCAAGATAGAAAATTACATTCAGTAAGGAGCAAAATTTGAACAAAAGATTAAAAAGCTGCCAACATAATTGAATCCAACACAACATTTATTGCATGCCTACATACCATTCGTGATACACAGGCAAACATGGCAATAACAAGTTTAGACATAAAAAAAAATGCACATACCATCCAACATAATATCTGTCTTTCCCTTCCACATCATTTACTACGCAAACAATATGATCTAGTTAAGCCTTCCCTTCCCTTTACCACTTCTTAACCAATCCAGTGTGTCATTAACAAATTATGCACCCTCAAGGTGAAATCAACAAATCAAACACCATTTAATCACAATCCACAACCAACAATAAATCTCAATTAACACAAACAACAGAGTAGTGTATCACCAAGACACCAATCAGTACAGAAAAAAAAAAAAAAAAAAAAAAAACAGACCACAAAACCTAAAAAAATGAAACCCAAAAAGTTATTAAAAAAAACACTGGAACTGACAAAATTTCACTCAATAATCAATCAAACAAATTTCGAGAAGGGTTTTCGTTTTTCGAAGCCTCACCGACACAACATTCGATCAACAAATCCTGCGCATCTCTGGCGACACGCACGTCCGGGGGCAACATCTCCTTGATAATTTTCGTCATTGTTGCTGCGAGAAAGATAATTTTTCAAACTCTACGCATAAAAAAAATCCCTAAATTAAAAAAAAAAAATTTTTTTTTCAATTAACCATCAAATATCCCCAAATCTGAGAAAGAAAAGGCCTATCGAGATACCTTTAGGAAGCGAAGCGTCTTCCTTGGCTTTCCCAACGATGTCCATAGGCTCCATCCTGAGATCGAAGAAAAATAAGCAAAATAACAACAGAGAAAGACGAATCACAGATCTGAGAAAAATAAAAAGGGAAGAGAGAACGCACCGAATGAATAGAGGGAGGGTGAGTCAGCTGATTGAAGAAGGTAACAAGGTGGACATGGCTGAGGCTGTGAGACCCGTATTTATGAAAACAAGGTGTGGTGTGGTGTGGTGATGGTGCTGCTTTTCAATGCGATGGATAAGAACAAGAGAGAGAGAAACAGCAAGTTCTTCCGTCATGCCCTCCCTTGCGTTAGGGCAACCCAAAAGCGCGTTGACGTCAACCTCCCCCACGCGCCCTCCAAGCGCGTCCCCCACTGCTTGCGGAACCCCACAACAAACTTTCTGTTGTCACGCAACCAATATCTTACTTCCTCCCCACGTAATACTTTTGTTTCCTTCTCCTGAATAATTCATTTTCTTGTATCTTCCTAATTACAAAATTGTAATTTTTTTCTCTGTACTTTTTTAACAGTGTTTTAGGATTAATTTATTTGAGGATTAGTTATTCATTTTATTTTGTTTTTTATTCAAATATTGATTTAGTATTCTTTTTAACCTAATATTTCGTTTAGAAATTTAAAGTTTGTCCTTCGTAATATAAGAGGTGATTATAAAATTTATTTTTTATTAAAATTATTAATATTGTATTTTTATTTAACTTATAATATTTTGATAATATTTGAATATATTGGTAATATTTGAGATATTTGGATAATAATTTATTTTAATATTTTAAGAAATTATTTTAAAATATTCATTAATAAATAAGGATAAATATTAAGTTTATTTCTATATTTATAATTTATCCATATATTAACCATATATTAACCGGTCTATTAGAACATTTCCAATGCATAAATTTTAAAACAGTCTAGAAAATAGTGAAACATGGTATCATGTTGCCACATTATAGTTAAACAACTTTCGTTTAATTTTATTTTAATGGTACAAATTTCAAACAACTCTTAACAATTCATTATTTTATATATTTTTCATATTATTTTAATATATTTTATAAAAATATATATATAATCTATATATATATTAAATAATTAATTACTTTAATTAATAATATAATACCTTATTTTAATATAAAAATACATAATATTTAAATAAATATAATAAAAATCAAACAATACTAAAAAATATAATACATAAAATTAAATTTCATTATTTTCTCTTCCAAACTTTTGTTAAATATGTTCTATCTTAAATCAATGATCTCCTTTGAAAGTATGTAGATCTAAAACTAGGATAAGGACTTGAAGATATATCAATGGTTGACATCTCATTTTCCGTAATATCATAATCAATATAATTTTGATAAGTGTATTATTTGTCCTCAACAATCATATTGTGTAATATGATACATGCATAAATTATGTTCTTCAATGTATGAGCATCCCAAAAACGTGTCGGGCCACGTATAATTGCAAATCGAGATTGAAGGACTCCAAATATATGTTCAACATCCTTTCTCATTGACTATTGTCGTTGAACAAATAATTTTCTCTTTTGTTATTGTGGCATTAAAATAGTTTTCACAAATGTCGCAAAATCTGGATAAATACCATCTACTAAGTAATATCCCATATCATATTGAGTTTCATTCGTAGTGTACCGCAGGTGCAAAATCTGACAAAACTTCATTAAACACATTAGATGCATTTAACACAGTAATATCATTATTTGACCCTACAGTACCAAAAAATGCATGTCAAATTCATAAGTCTTGTGATGCTACAACTTCGATAATGATTGTCGGGTTAGCATGATCACCTCGACAAAATTGACATTTCCATGCAACTGGACAATTTTTCCATTCCCAATGCATGCAACCAATTGATCCTAACATACCTGGAAAACCACATGTGACTCCCATTTGTAGTAATCGATCAATGTCTTCATTATTAGGTCTCCTTAAATACTCATTTCTAAATACTGCACAAATGTCTGATACAAATCGTTGTAAGCATTCTACTAAAGTGTTTTCACCAATGCGAATATATTCATCCACACTATCAACAGGTGAGCCATAAGCCAATATGCGAATAGCAGCAGTACATTTTTGCAAAGGTGATAAACCTTTTCTTTGTGTTACATCTAACCTTAGTGTAATGTAATAATCGTGATTGTCAAGGGCTTCTACAATTTTGACAAAAACCTCCCTTTGCATACGAAACCTTCTTCAAAATTGAGATTTTGTATATACTAGATTTTCAACAAAATAGTCATTGAACAATTGAGGATGACCTTCTTCACGATTTCGATGAACTACTTTTCTTCTTTGTATGTCACCACCATTGTTGTCAACTTGTTGTTGGTACTCAAGTAGTAACCTCATGATTTCTTTATCATGGTTATCTTCGAGTTCTCCATCTATGACTTGATTCAATAATGCATCTAAATTAATGTTTTCAAATTCCATTGTATGGATAATTGAGGTGTTTAAAAATTGAGAACAATATTGTAATTTATGAGACATTACATGATATTCCAAAACTATATATAGATTCATAACAACTAAATTTACAACGGCTAGTTTTCATTTGTGCATAACTAATACATTTTTCAAACAAATACAATTAATAATCATAATGACTAATATATTTAAAATCCTCGTTTTTGTCTAATATAGTTATAATATTTTTCGTGATCTTCACATTGCTTGTCAGACATGTTAGTCCTATCCTTCATGAGGATTTCATCCTCCAAACACATTTTTTGTGACTTCTTTAACTCAATCAATTCATCATACTTTGTATTTTTTTTCCTTTATTGCATTTTCTATACCAGATAAATCAATATGGGGAGTAGCACTTGCACTGCCTTTTCCTTTACTCTTTCTCTTGACGACCTTTTGTCCTATGAGGCAAGATATTGGTGATATTGTGTTAAATTCTTCAACTTCGTGTGGTGTCTCTGGGTTAGAAGACGATGAGTATGTGCCTGAAGTAGAAATCTTACATCTTTTTGAAGAATCATCCATAAATGTTGGATGTCATTTTGGTTCATCTCTTAACAACAATCAAGCATGTTCAAATTCAAAATTGTTCCCTTTTGAATCTTCCGTGAAAATCTTATGTGCGAATGACATAACATCTTTCTCAGTCCAACCACTATTCCTTTGATTGGTAGCTTGTTTATAACATGCATTAAATTTTTGAACTGCAGGGTGAAGTTTACTCCATCGAGATTTTAGTTAACTCACTTACCTATTTGTGAAAATGCTATGTTCGTTATCATTGTTGTATGCTTCTTTGATCCGCTCCCAATATTGGGTTAATGACTGATCAACTCCAACAATTGGATCCTTCAACACGTTCAACCATGATCGAATAAGAATAAAATCTTCTGGTATTGAGAATGGTACACGAGCTTTCCTCTGAGACATATTTTCACCGCTTTCATCAAGTTGGATATTATTGAGTTCAATCGGGGAAGGAGGTTTTATGTTGGATGAAGGATGAATGTTACTCATATTTGATGTCATTGGAGGTGGTAAAAACATAAAAAATGGCGGTGGATAAATATAATTTTGAGAATTTTCACCGGTAACAAATGAATGATTTTGCAATAAATTATAATAATACTGATAATTAAATTATTGGGATCTATAATTGGAGAAGAAGAAAAATGAGGAAATGAAGGAAATGTAAAATTTGTTTATCATTAATAGAGATTTTATAGTGTAAAAATAGTAAAAAAATAAATAAAAAGTTGTAACGGCTACACAATTCCTCCCAATAGTCAATTTCTCTCAACGATCAATTGTCTTTTCAATCTCACCCCAATTCCTCCCAATGGTCAATTTCTTTTTTCAATCTCACCCTTATTCCAATTCTGCTACACAAATAATTTTTTTATATTAACCCCTTCCCCTATCCTTTTTCAGAAAGCCTTACTCGATCGTGTGTCTCTGCAAAATCTCCCTCCCATGGATTCCATCTCTCTCCTTATCCACTCTCCCTGAAACCCCATAGACCCACCACCTTCAAACCCTTCTCTCACTTCTCAAACCACAACCCACCACACTCCAAAATTCAACCTTCTCAACTTCGTTCACTCTCACTCTCCGCAATCCGAACGCGTTCTCCCAACGCATTAGCAAAACCCTTTTTCTCATTCACCGCCTTTAACATCTTCACTCTGTTTCCATGCCTCACTGATATGACAATGGACGTGGATGCCGACAGTGGCAAAATCAATATCGAATATGTTCTGGTTTCCATTGACAACTTCTTTAACCAGTACCCGTTTTTTGTGTTTGGGTGCGCCTTCATTTGACTAAAATTGTTCACGCTGTGCTTGTATTTTGTGAAATTGGTGAGTATAATTTTGAAATTGTTTAGTATAATTTTGAAATTGATTCTGAAATTTTTCACGTAGTGATTCTGATTCTGAAATTGGTGAGTATAATTTTGATTTTGAAATTGTTCACTATGATTTTGAAATTGTTCACGTAGTTGAAATTGATTTTGAAATTGATTATGATGATGAATGGTTCATGGTTCCATATTGATTCTGAAATTGTACGTTATTGAAATTGATTTTGAAATTGATTCTGATGATGAATGATTCATGGTTTCCATTCCTACGTTTGATATTTTCTAGTTTAGATTTGATTTGTTGTGTGCTGAAGAAAATGAAAATAATCATATTTTATTTGAAACAACGGTTGCTTCTTCAAGCATTTTTCTGTTAAGATGGAGCAATCCTATGTGCCACGTAATTTACTCCAATGTAATAGTTGCTTGAAGCTACTAATTTTTTTTTAAGCACCCTGCATTAGAGATGCTCTTATCTTATTCATTTGACTCATTGATTACATTCTACTTCTTTATCGCGCATTCATATACTTACTTAAGTATTAAAGTCTTTTACAGGTATTTCTCTCACGTTGACCATATCGACTCATCCTGTTAAAGAGAGAGAAAGAAGTTAGGGCGTCTCATCTGAATTCAGGTATCAGCACTTGACACTCATTGTGAGACTAGGTAAAACTTCTCTCACATTCACCTGAAAGCTAAACGATGAGCCTCTCATTCTCTTTCACACTTCATGAACCCAACAACACTCCTCGAAAGCCTTAAGACTCATATGATAAAGTTACAACAACAAACTAATGAGAAAATTAGAGCTTTAAGAGAAAACACTTATCATGATTAGAAGCAACAACAAAAGGAGTTAAAGATCTTGCGTGATAGAATTAACGAGATCACTAAGAAACCAACAGTACAAAAGAACACACCATAAAATGAGGATGACATGGCGACTATGGTGGAATCTTACTTCCATTCCAAAAACCCTAAGCCAAGGAAAATAGACAATCAACAAAAGCTCAAAATTAAACAACAAAAGACTAATACCGAAAAGAATGTTGAATAAAAGAAAACCAAAAAAGAAGGTGAGTCATCCTTGTCAACTCGTCCCCCGATACAAGCTCGGGCATAATATGAGCATTCTTTTGCACTTGGAATGCTCGACGAACCCCTTCCTCAAAGCTTACGTGTACCGCCAATAGACTCCTACACCGGAACCTCAAGCCCAAAGAGCTTACCTCACACATATAAAAATATACTCAAACAGAGATTCCTTCAAATGTTAAATTTTTTCGACCACACTCAAAGACATTGCACTCCAATGGTATTATGAGCTATCAAAGGTATTTATCACTTGTTTTAAAGACTTAGCAAGCATACTGAGAGCTCGGTTTGTAACAAGCCGACCCCATATGACCCTTAACCGCCTTTGAAAGCATTAGGCAAGGAAAGAAAGAGTCGTTGCAAATTTTTTTGAAGAGGTTCGCAACCATCAACCTCACCATACTAGGCTTAGAATTGGTTGTTGCAATGCACATCATGATGACCAAACTTTGAACCATACCATCTTTAAATAACCTATACCTCAAGAGGGCAAAAGACACAAATCAGTTAAGAATGTGAGCCTCGAACTACATCCAATTGAAAGAAAGCACCAAACTCTGATAAAGGAGAGAAGAGAAACTTGATCACGTGGTCGACAAAAGCCATCCTCAATAGATACGAAGGGTTTGTTACGATAACTACAGACCATTAAACACATCTCGTGAGGCTATCTTGCGAGAAACATGAGTTAATGACCATAACTGAAGAAGCTTTTTCGACACTGTCGCCGCCGTAAAAAAGAGGCGGTCGGAGCGACGCGATGGTTTCGACCCTCTTGTTTTTCGCGTTTTTTGTTGGTGGTTACAACGCCTTTAGGTTGTCCGATAACCGGGCTGAACCTAGGGGCGAGGTTTTCGAAAAGGCGCTCTTGGATTGTCCGATAACCGGGCTAATCCAAGAGCTAGTTTTGAAAGGGTTCTGTGGAGTCGCCACCGATGTTTTTACCGGAAACATCGGGAAAGGAGTTAAAAGGCGTTGGTTTTCAAAAAACCAACTTTGGTCGTTAGAACCAGAGTTGGGTAAGGGAGTTAGTTACGTGTAAAGGAAGCGTTAGTTCCTTTACGACGCCCCTTTCGGGTTCCCTATGACAGGCCAGCTGTTTAAAAATATTTAAACCGGTGAAAATTACGCTTTTACCCTTTTATTCTGCGGAATTTAAAATTACGACTACATGGCCCTAGTATCTATTACATAATTTAAAATTAAAGCGATAAAAGTAGAGAGGGAGAATATAAACCTCTGAAGCACACTTTTATATTAATTCTTTTAAAAAGAGGGTGCTTTGTGGCAGCCCTTCACTCTACACAGTGTCGGAAACTTCTCGAAGCGCCGAAAAAGACTCACAAAAACACTCAGAAGCTCCGGAAATGCGTCGGAGGGATTCTAGAGAGAATATCTAGTGATTTTCTAGAGAGAAGGAGGAGAAAACTCTGTGTGGTGTGTGGAAATGAGGCAATGAAGCCCCCTATTTATAGTTTTTTGCGCCTGATAGGTCGAGACCGCCGTCTCGTCTGACAGGGTCGAGACCGCCGTCTCGCCATGCCAAAGTGGCGAGACCGCCGTCTTGCCAAACGATACCGCCGTCTCGCCCTTCGCAGGTGGCGAGACGACAGTCTTGATTTCGAGACGGCGGTCTCTTCTCCAAAAAGGCGAGAAACCTTATTTTGTGCAAAAAAATCCCTCCTATCCTAGTATGGGGCCTAATAGTCTCTCCTAGTGGCTTTTTAGGCTTCGTCCATCTTCGAATAGGAGGTCTTCTACTCTTTATTTGGAGGTCGGGTAAGATTTGGGGTCTACAGCTGCCCCCCCCTTTACCTGACTAGTCGGCTGTTGACTTGTTGTGCCAGACAGATTGACAGGAAGGTAAAGGAGTTGACCCTCTTGCCCGGCTACCCTTCGGATGTCCCGTCTTGTGGCGGTTGATCTTCTGGGGAAAATTTGTGTTGTGCACCTCCAGGATACTACTTCTGACGTAGCCGATCCTTTGGTTGATGGGTATAAACCCCCCATCGGGCTGGTAGTTGCAGTCCGTTGTGTGGGACTGGATGGGTATGAACCCCCCATCAGGCTGGTAGTTGCAGTCCGTTGTGCGGGACTGGATGGGTATGAACCCCCCATCAGGCTGGTAGTTGCGACTTACTGATCCGGCTCGAGCGCAGATCAGGCGCACCGCGTGCGCAGGTTGATAGGTATGAACCCCCTATCAGGCTGGTACAGTCCACTGCGTAGGACTAGTGGTGGTGGCGGCTTACTGCTCGGGTGGCTCATGTGTATGTCAGGTGCAACGCGTGCGCAGGTTGATAGGTATAAACCCCCTATCAGGATGGTACAGTCCGCTGCATAGGACTGGTGGTAGTGGCGGCTTACTGCTCGGGTGGCTCATGCGCCTGTCAGGCGCAACGCGTGCGCAGGTTGATAGGTATAAACCCCCTATCAGGCTGGTACAGTCCGCTGCGTAGGACTGGTGATAGTGGCGGCTTACTGCTCGGGTGGCTCATGCGCCTGCTCCCTGGGGAGTGATTTCTGTGTTGGTAGATGTACTTGGACCTCTTTGAATGGTCATCCGGGTTGTGCCGGGGATTTTGTGTTTCATCCAGCTTTGTTGGCTGCTGGGGACTCTTTGTTTTTTACTTTTGGTGGTGATCATCCGACTCTTGCTGGCTGGTCGGATGAGTCCTGTTTGTTGTTCGACTTTTACTTGGTAGTCGAAGTTTTGTTGATCAAGGTGAGTGGCTTGTCTTTAATCCAGCCTTTTTCTCGCGGTTTTATCTCTTTTTTCTCGCGATTTCGGATTTTGGCTTTTCTTATTGAGCGTATGCCTTTTTTCCTTTTTAAGTTTTTTTGTTACGCTGGCTTTTGCAAAAGGTGGCAAAGAGATGCATGAAATAAAATTTTATTTATAAGGAAATTTTATTACAACCACGTTTTATTTTGGCAAGTACAATCCCTAAGGGCTATCATCTGGAGACGATCCGGAGGAGAATTGCTGGTAGAGGTGATACCGGAAGTCCGCTTGCTCTCGGACTTCGTCGCGGTATTCTTGTTGGAATGTTGTCCATTCCTGCCGCATCACCTGCTGGTGCTGATACATCTCCTCCTGCCAAGCGTTGTAGGCTTCCTGCCTCTGGGCCTGTTGCTCTTGCCGTACCGTCATCTGGTCGAACTGCCGGCGCAGATCGTTCATGTTGCGGTTTAGGCCGGCGAAATCGTCCGTGTACGGTGGTGGTTGTTGTTGTTGCTGCTGCTGGAACTCAGGAGGTGTGGGGATATCTTGCATTGCCACGAGCCCCTGGAGGTCCAGTGTGAAATCCAGCGAGAGATGAAGGACCAACTTGGTCCCACGGCGTATTAGCATCCCCATGCTGACCAGGACTGACCCGTTGATGGATTCGGGTCGTGAGTTGGAGGCCAGTTCTTCCCGGCCAGGGCACCCCCATCTTTCTGCCAGGGGAATGATAAGAGGAGCCATGAGGACGACCCCCGTTGATCTGTTCTCAAAGTCCTTAAGGGCCCTCAGGAAAAAGTAGTCAGGGTTACAGCGCCGCCTCTGGCTCATGCAGTAAAGTATAAAGAGGTCAGGGAGGGTTATCTTACCCTGACTCTCTTTCCTCCCGTGGATGGTCCCCGCCAGCAGCTTGTGGCAGATGCGGAGTGCTGGGGGAAGCGCGGAGCCCCTCATCAGTGTAGGCAGCATGGTTGCCCCTGTGAGCTCATGCCACATTTCGGAGGCGGTGAGGTTGGTGGGTCGAGAGCAGATGGCCTCGAGGTATCCCTGAGTCATCATGTCCTCGGGCCGGACGAACCCAATGGCCACATTGAATTCGTCGAGGGTGGTAGTCTGGTATTCTCCACCCATA